AACCGGGATTTTTTTCAGAAATGCATGAAACATTTAACACTTTCACTGCCGCCTATTCCGATCGGAGTGTTGGTGTTTACTACGTTTAATGCTAATAACTTTTTTTATATAAATACGTTTGCAATAATCTATTTTAGTAATTACTCCGTTTTGAGTCGGCTGACAACGGTCACCGATGTCTTACAAAAAAATTTGTTTTTCTTGTTATATTAATTTTTGTGCTCCCAAAAAAACTGAAGAAAGTGTTTTCTAACGTAGCTTGTGCAAAAAACTTAGTTTGGCTCTTCGCGACGGCGCTTTAGTCACAAAGCGGCAGCGAAAGTGTTAAAATAAATGCGTTTTCAAAAGTTTTCTATCGGAAATTTCCTCTACATTTTCCTGTCAGTAAAGTGTTTTTTACCAAAACTTTGGTGGTCGGAGACATGCGAGATGACTCACTAGTAATTAAAAAGAACCTAAGTAGGTGTTTGGTGTTTGTCTGGCTGCCTGCCTGCCTGTTACAAAATTTGATCGAATTACGCTCCTTCCTAAAGAGTGAAATTTATTATATCGAATGATTTGGTGGGTGGTCGCATGACTTGCGACATGACTCACTAATACTACCTACCCTACCTACTACTAACTGACGAGTTAAAAAATATTTAACCCATTGAATGTATTTTAGTCACGGAAGTCTGCAAACGCTAATTTTTTTGCATATATTCTTGTACGTGTCCTTTCTATTTATAAAACGTTTGTCAATAAGGTTTTCTTGTTTACTAATTGCATGTGATTTCAAGGAAAAACAAATGTGTGCGTTTATTTTACGCTAACCCTGAATATATTACTTAAAACTAGTTAAAAAGGTCAAGGCGGGTTAAAAACCCATTTTTATTATTGCAATCTTCCGACATATCGAAAAAAAAAATAGTTCCGGTTTCTTGATTTTCTAAGTCAATATTAAATCAATGTTGCATTGTACTATACAAGGAGTGGTATCATAAACTTCCGGTAATAAATTCTTTGAAACTACAAGGTTACATTGTGTGAATGGTATTATTATATTAAAGATATGCATGGACGTGATGGACTGCTGCAGTGCGACGCATCAGTCTTAAAATAGGATGCATTCCATCGAGATTTACGAGGTGTTATCTAAAGATTCCAATTATTTACTCCTCAAATCGCAATTTTGAATTAAGACACCAACCACTAAAATACTTAAGTTTTAGACATGATCTAGTTTATCCACCCATTGGCACCCCACTCGACGCTTTATTAAATAAACATGGATTTTCAAGTCTCGATATAAGGCGAAAATATTTTTCTGTAGTTATGCTGTATAAGGTCATAAGCAATCAAATAAACTGCGAACGTCTATTACATATGCTTAATTTAAAAGTTTCACGTCAAGCCTCAAGATACACTGACTCATTTTACTTACCAACAACTCGTACTAATATTTTAAAGAACTCACCGTTGTATAATATGTGTAATAATTATAATCAGATAAGTCAGGAATTGAATATATTCCACATTAGTATTCAGGATATGAAAAGGCATTATTTAGGATAACCATCATTGTACTTCATTTCCTGAAATATTTTCCATTTTTGTATATTTCGTCTAAATATGTTTGTCATATTTTCCTATTCTGTAATTGGGTATTACTTGTAGAATAGTGTATTTAATAAATAAAATAAATAAATAATGTATTCTGTATTCTATTTAAAATTTAAGCCATAGTAAATTGTGTAAACAAAGACTAAAAGGTACCATATCGGAACGCGCGACAGATGACAGCAAAAGCGACGACAAAGGAGACCAAAAACGTCTGAACACATGTAATTATATGAAACACATTTCGCAAGGCGCGACCAGTGCGAGAGACAGAATTCGACGACAGATAGATCGGTCTCGGGGTAGTGTGTGCCGCTTGTCGCGCTCAGTCAACGCTTGTATTTCAAGGTGATCCGTTGATATTTTGTAGAAATGGTAGTTGGAAAGTTCTTTGGATCTATCCTGGGCAGTGTTGCCAGATAAAAATTTGCTGGAACAGTAGGTAGGCGAAAAAAAAAACAGTAGATCTGAACAGTAGTTTTTAATACAGAGGGAAATAATTATAATTTGCAATGTAGTAAATAAAAAAACAAGTACATAAGAAACGAAAAATAAACATTTTTCTACCCAACAAAGAGTATAAACAAATAATAAAAAATTTTATATATTCTTAACGTATTGTAACGATAGTTTAATTTATTAATGACGTACTAATTAATTTATATAATACTTAGGCAGATTAGGCACTAACAATTCTAATTTATTTTTTACAATTTAACTTTTCTGTCCAACACTTTATTCTCATCTGCTCGTCCGCCGATAAGTCGGGCTATTTATACCAAGCCAAATCTGTACTCGTAGTTTCTAGACGACGATGGAATGTCCCAGAATTCCATCTCTATGACTCAACGTCACGTACCGCTTGTTCTGGTATATTAAAGACGATGTCCGACTGTCTCCACACGTCAGCGGTGCTTCGATCATGAGTCGGTGGCAGGTTGAAGGTTGTTTACTAAACAGGGTCGCATCACTGTACGGAAACAAAAAAAAAACAATGAAAAATAATAGGTATTTCTTTTAGTTCAGTCTGAATCAGATAATTCAAATATGTTGTGTTTGGCATGCATGTTCTTTTAATTCTTTGTTGCATTTTAAATAAAAACGTATTGAGATTTTATTTATGGAGCAAACCTACAATTTTGGCTGCTTATTACGCTGCTTTTACTTCAGCAAATTTACTAGAAAAAATATTCTTTGACCATTTGCTGAAAAATGAGACAAACTTATTAAATTAACAACAAAATTTGCTAAGTTGGCGAAAACAGATTTCATGCTTAAAAGAGGAGAACAGAGACAAAAACAGTGGATCTACTTAAAAACAGTAGGTCTGGCAACACTGATCGTTCTCTCGAATGGTTGTCTGCGGTTGTCGTGTAATCTGTCTTCTCTCTTCCCAAATGTGTGAAGCGTAACATAAATGTATCTGTCTCCTTTGCCGTCGCCTCTGTTGTCGTCTGTCGCGCGTTCCGAAATGTTACCTTATACTTTGAGAGATTTTCTCGGAATGCCACCGTAATTTGTCAAATAAATTATTTTTAAATTCTAAAGTTGACATATTGTTAAAAAGTAAATTTTTCTGAAAGTATGTACGTTCTAAATACATATGCCAAATTTTGTTTAGCCGGACCTGGATTTTAATTATGGTTTCCATGGTATTATTTTTGCTATATCGAGGATAATCTATCCGTCAAATTTGGAATTGTGGTTGTTGAGTTTTGGCCAAATAATAATTCATACGCAATCCGTTAATAATGGATAATTTCAAATCATCACAGTATCCCACACTTTCAATTTTTGTTTGCACATTTCACTGTGATACACCCTATATACCTAATCCGTAACTTTGTGTCATGTACCTCACAAAATAAAAAGACGGTGGGTAGAACATGTGGCAGCAGACATTCATGATTATGTAAATTATAAGAGGCAATGCACCCATTTACTGTGAAATATTTTAGTCTTCTTGTTTTGACATAATATTTGTACAAGAATGGTATGAATAAGTTCAAGTCTAAAAAAAGAAAACAAAATACCGAGTAATCCTTTTATTTTTCGAGATATTCTACTTTTTGCTCAATTCAACGAAATTCTGACCCTTTATGCCTCTCCTATAGGTCGACTCCTCCATATCTTCAAAATAGGCGTTTGTGTTGGCAATAACTTTCAAATCCTACGCATACTTCTAGCCAGAGTATTTTTTATGTTTGGGGCCAAGTCAGGCAGGTAGGGTGCATGGGGTAGTAATTCAAAGCCCCCTGTGTTAATTTTAGCCATCACAATAATAGACTTGTGACACTTTTTTTATTATTATCCAGGTATTTTCTACATAATTTTCTGTTGTAGCTGATCAAGCAAGTTAACATAATATTGTTCATTTATTGTTTTACCCTTTTCAAGATAATCAATAAGCAATGCCTACATCCCAAAATACCAACGACATAATATTTCCGGCTGATGGAACTATTTTCACCTTTTGGGATTGGTTAGCCTATCGCTGTACCATTTTCTTCACTGCTATTTGGTTTCTGGTATGTAATGGTCATACCAAGTCTCGTCCATAGTTAAAATCTGCGCAAAAAGTCTTTTGAATTGGGCTTATAAATAACGTTTTCGAGTTTTTGCTCCGATGCGCTCTGGGCAATCGCGCAACCCATCTTGCGGAGAACTTTTTCGTTTCCAAAATTTCTTATAATATGTGACGTGTTCGCTATTTTGAAATCCCTACAGCCTCAGCTATCTCCACAAACTTCAATCGGCTGTCATTCAGAAGAATTTTATTGACTTTCTTTACCAATTTTAGTCTACCTGTGCTCTTTGCATGCTTAGTGCTTGTATGGCCACGTTTCTAATCTGCAACCCATGTTTTGACTATTGAACATGATGGAGCAGATTATTAAAGTAGAATCCAGCTCAGCTTTAATTTCCGTGTAACTTATACCCTGTGAAAATATTTTATGGCAGCTTGTACTTCGAGTTTCTCCATTATTCAAGAAACTTAGTACTTGATTAGTATAGCGGGCTATCAAATACAAACTACTGGACACAAACAATAATCCACAGAAAAACTAATGACATATGACGTTTAATAAAATAAATAAACCAATGATCAAAATTATGTTCATTATAGGTCAGGCTGGAAATTCTTCATTCGATCCATGTAAATAAATCACTAAAAACTTTTTATTCATGACCATTGAAATCTTGGACGAATTTTATTTCACTATACAAAAGCTTTACTGACTGTAAAACTTTATACGGCTCTATAAAAAATAAAGTAAAAAGTATACATACAAAAAGGGGAAATAAATAATTAAGTTCATATAAATAAAAACACCATTGTTTATTAAAACATACAAATTGTCATAATATAACAGTAAAGCATTTTTTTTATTTCATTCTAGCGAGGACAAAACTCAATCCCTAGGTAATACTATGAAAATGGGTGCCTTTGCAGACATGCAGAAGAAAAAGATGGAATCGTTATTTATCATACCTAACACACCTTTCAGCGAGCTTTTCAAAGAAAAACCGACCGCGGAAAAAGCTGCTGAAAATATGGTGGAGCTCAAAAATAACGAAAACGAATCCCAAGAAAAGAATGGAAATTCAACGACTGATAATTTAACAACTAAACTCAACTCTCTGACGATGGTGTCGACGAACGATGATTTTATCATGGTAGACTTGGTAATTTTAATTATTTTTTTTTTGCAAAGTCTGTATAGGAAATTTTAAATCACTGGAGTATCGATACGATCTTAGACGTTTTTGTTGAGGAATGCTTTCTTTGAAAGACAATGTTAAATCATTAGTTGATGCGCATTGGTGCTTGATCATCATAATGGTCAAAGGTAATGAAAAAGCTGACGAAGAAGCAAAAGTCAGAAGAATCACCGGGATCAGTCAAAAATCTAGGAATAGCTTTCAAAAAGTTCAGTGCATGGTTGCCTTTTTAAAAGGACCAAAAAGTGTAGGTATACTACTCTATACACATAGGGACCAGTCGACCAGTTAATAATTACAGGATTTATGGGTAAATTGACATGAACCTGAACAATAGATATTTTCCTTTGCATCGAAAGTGTAGCACTTCTAAAAAAATTGTTCCATTTTACAAATTGTGTGGATGGAACGATATTTTCAGAAGTTGTGTAACTTAGTGCTACACTTTCGATGCATTAATAATGTAGAAATCATGTCAATTATGGCATAAGGAACCAGAAACAGCCAAATTTTTGAAACGATTGCATAAACCAACAAAAATTGTATTAAAAAGACAACTCAAGTAGATATAAAAATATAATAAATTATTCAATTTACTGTATTATCTACAATTTTGTTTTTGAATTTTTTTATATAGTTTAGTGTTTAGTGGACTATATAATTTAAAATATTTGAAAATTATTTTTATGATTAATTAGTTTATTTAAATAGCTTTGATGACTTATAAACACAGCTGGAATATAGCTGTTTTGTTAGTTACAGTGTTGATGTGATAAAAATTTTGAATTCTTCAATTTTAAGTTTACTATACAGACCTAATCTCGCTTTTTATTTACCAAAAAAATAACAAATCAAATCTAAATTTATCCAATCGTCGAATATTTATTAAAAATATTGATAATTAAGTAATTAATTTATTTCGAGTGTTTTAACCTATTGACTTTCAGATTTGAGAAGAACGTACTTTTTTTAAACTGATTTCATTAAAATGTTGTTACCAACAAACAACTTTAAATTATTTTATTTTGGTTTTAAAATGTTACAAAAGATTTCTAATAACAATCAATCATGGTATTAATTGTGAATTTTATCAGGCGAGGCGCCAGCCAAGTCTTTATACTGTGTGTGCCATACCGATTGTTTATCATCCATATTATTAATGTTTAACTTCTTATATTTTGGAACATACTTAGGAATTGTATATTCTATGTACTGGATGTAAATAAAATATACATCGACATACAGAAAAAGGTTAATCTAAACATAATTCATACAAAAACAACCCTGTACACAGGGTGTTTAATTGATGATGGACTACAGATTAATTAGAGAATCCTTGGCCTAAAATGTCTTCCTTATTGAGTAATGGGGTTTTATTTAATGCTTCATCTTTACTTGAACTAAAAAACTAATATGTTCTGTCAATTATATTTAAAATCAGGTCGTCATATTTTTAAACGCAAATCTTTTAAATAATGTTAAAATAATATTAAAGAACTAGCTGTTGCCCGCGGCTTTGCTCGCGACTTTGCTCGCATGTAGTCGTGAATATTTTTTATTAATTTTTAATAATTTTTTTCAATTTTTAGTAATTTTTATTAATTTTTATTAATTTTTAGTAATTTTTAGTAATTTTTAGTAATTTTTAGTAATTTTTAGTAATTTTTATTAATTTTTAATAATTATTTTTTTTTTAATTTTAGTTTTATTTTTATGATACTACCATACAAAAATATAAAAACCACAGAGCACGTCATTATTTATTTTATGCTACAATTATAATTTTAAAGTTCCAACGTTCAAAAAATGTATACTTCTATACAAATTTTCCCCCCTTAAAATGTGAAAATCCAAAAACCATGAAACATTTTTGATTTTTAATCAGTAACTGTAATTAAAATTTTTGTTTCAAACTTTAAATAACAAAAAAATATATACATACTGTTAAACAAATTTTCACCCCCCCTTTCCCCCCCCCCCCCCCCCCTTTCCCCCCCTTAAAATGTTAAAATGCAAAAACCCTGAAACACTTCATTATTTATTTACGATGAGAACCTACAATTCCAATTTTTAAGTTCCTACCTTAAAAAAAATCGATATTTACAAATAAACCTTCCCTCCCCGTTTCCCCCCCTTAAAATGTGAAAATCCAAAAACCCTAAAACACATCATTATTAATGTGTACTCATTAGCTGCAATTCCAATTTTTATGTTTCTAACTTCAAAGAGAACAAAAAATATACTCCCATACAAACTTTCACCCCCCGCTTGCCCCCTTTAAGATGTAAAAATATAAAAACCCTAAAATACATTATTATTAAATTGTACTCAGTAGCTGCAATTCCAATTTCCATGTTTCTAACTTTAAAGAGAACCAAAAACATGGATACTCCCAAATAAATTTTTTCCTCACCTTAAAATGTGAAAATCCAAAAACCCTGAAACAAGTCATTAATAATTTGTAGTCAGTAGCTGCAATTTCAATTTTCATGTTTCTAACTTCAAAGAGAACAAAAAAAATCAATAGTGCCTTACAAACTTTCGCCCCCCCCCCCCCCCCCCCCATCCCCCCCCTTAAAATGTGAAAATTCAAAAACCCTGAAACACGGCATTATTTATTTATGCTTAGTAGCTGTAATTTAAATTTTCATGTTTCTAATTTTAAAGAACAAAGAGTTTCATTAAAAGCTCCCTCCCCCCATTTCCCCCTTTTAAAGTTAAAATTTCCAGAAATCCTTTTTTAGCGGATGCTGCTTACGTTATAAAATAAACCTTTGTTCCAAATTTCAGCTTTCTATAGGCTCAGTAGTTTTGGCTGTATGTTGATAGGTCAGTCAGGACAAGTAATTTTATATACAGGGCGTCCCGAAATTAGACGGTCATATTTTAACAGCATAATCTACATCCTAAAATAGGAGTAAAAGTTCATATAAACATAAATCCGAAAATGTTTCTTTTCCGAGATACAGGGGGTTAAAAGTGAAGTCCTGATGACACACTTTTGTAAATATTTTCTAAACGTTTAAAGATAACAAGTGAAATTTGGTACAAATGCTTACCTTTTTACGCTCTATTTAATGGACTAAACCCCAGTTTTTGATCATCTTCATAGGTGGGTAAATTAGGGGGGCTTGGGTAAAATTGCCCTAAATTTTTTTTGTTGAAACTTTTTAACATTTTTAACTATAAAATTTGGAAAACCAATGTTTTCTTTATAATAAAGTTGCTTTTGTTGCATCTCGCTAGGACGCACCATTTTCAAGAAAAAAGCATTTGAAAATTTCATGATAAGTTGATGTAATCTTATTCGAAAGTATAAACAATAGTAGGCCTGTGGAATCAGAAATTTGATTTTTTTTTTAACTTTGGAAAACCGGTTACTAAAGAAATTTTAGAAAATATTTACCATCAGGACTTCACTTGTAACACCCTCTGTACTCGAAAACGACCCGTTTTTGTACCTACGTTTATATGAACTTTTACTCCTATTTTAGGATGTGGATTACGCTGGTAAAATGTGACCGTCTAATTTCGGGACACCCTGTATATAGATTTAAAAATAATACTAAAATGATGATTCCGTAAATTGCGTAAAATTTAGACAAATAAAACTCTTCCTCTGTCCCTGTTGCCTTTTTTCGCATTTTAATGTGTTACTCAAGAAGAAAGTGCGGTACATTTGAATTTAGTATCTCTACAAACAACTTATTTTCTGTCTCTGTCTTTTCCTCACCGTAACTACCATTGCTTTAAACAACTGAGTCGGTGGATGTATTTGTTTGCCACATCTCCATAAAAACCAAATCAAACTATAAAATTCACTATCAAAAACAAAATTACACACAGGGTAGGATACATAACACTAAATTTTGGCGATTTTAAGAGAAAGTAAGATTTGTGCATAAGTAATAGAGACAACTTATAATAGTTTTATTTTATTGTAATTTCTTGCACCTATTGGTATTTTGCTAGTGGTTTTCTTAGAATCTATGTGTATAATTTAATAAAAATACTCTGATTCAAGTTTGTATAGTTTTCAGTACCTAGTTTGGGCCTTCTTCAGTATTTAAAATTCTTTATTAATATCATTATTATTTTTCTTATAAATATTTTTATATTTTATGTTATTATCAATCTGTACAATCGTTAGGGAGGGATATTTTTTATTGTTACGTGTGAGGGGCATGTACAGGGTGTTTCATAAAGACCTGACTAACTATCTAGTGCGAATAAAAAATAATCCATAATAAGAGTACACCAATTCAAAAGAAGTTGAAGTTTACCACTTTTCAATAACTTACTAAACCAAATTTTGAATATGAAATTACATCAAAAATTTCAATATCTGTAATGGGGTATATAAGGGTTGAGGATTTAACTATTTTCTCCCTTTTTTTCTATTTGCTAATTTTTTGAGAAACAAAATTGAAATTATAATTTTTCAGCTAATTTTACAATAAAAAGGTACTCTTAGCAAATGTCCAAAAAACGAACCCGTTAGAAAGGAAATTGCGTTTTAATTTGAAATTGCTTATATCTATAAAGTAAGTCAAATTCGAGAAAGAATAATTATATTTTAAGGGAAAACATTTATCAAAAGAAAAAAACGAAATTGACAACAATATTTTAAAACAATAAATAAATCTACAGGTTATTTTGTAGCTTTGTAGTCCATTAAAATTATTTATTTTCCTTTCCCTTAATACTTCTAATGTATTCACTCTGTAGCATGAACTTTTTGTTTGATATAATTCCATAACATTAAATCTAAAAGTGTCAGGTCAGATGACCTAGGAGGCCATTGCATTGGAGCCCTTGCACCTCATCAAAACCAACGTCGTGGAAAATTCCACACTCTAGATAAAATATTAAAATGTGGCCAAGCTCCTTCGTGCATAAAATACATTTTATTTCTTATATTCAAAGGTGTCTTCTAATATTTCAAAAACTAACAAATACATTTT